GAGTGTAAAACAGACAAACAAAGACAAAGACAAAGAGAGAGAGTGAGAGAGAGAGAGAAAAATTTAAAAAAAAAAATAAATAAGTAAATAAATTTAAATGACCCACGTGAGATTTTATTAGAATTTTCCTTATTATTATTATTATTATTATTATTATTATTATTATTACATTTTCTTTCTTAAATAAATTGCTACTGCTGTTGTTGTTGTTGCAATAAGAATAAAAAATTTAAAAAAAAAAAAAGAAAAAAAATGTTATACAGTGAAAAAAACGATATCGGAAACGATAAAATCGGGTACTATTTCCCCTACCCTGCCCCTCCTCTCCTCCTACTCCCCCAACCTCCCACAATCCCACCCACCTAGAACACAAAGGGTAATCATCAATATTTATTACTCGTAATAAAATAATAATAATAATAACAATAATAAAATTATTTCTTTTTACAAAAAAAGAGTAATTAAAAAAAAATCTTTAAAGAATTTCAATTTTTTTTTCTTTTTCTTTTTCCACGTGAATAATTACAAAAAGTTAAAATTCCAAACGCTCCATTTTGTTTTTGAAGTGGAAGAAGAAAAGAAAAAAAACGATTTCGATTTTTATTATTATTAAATAAATAAATAAATAATAAATAAATAACGTATATATACGTATAGTTCATTATTATTATTCCATTAATTATTTTTCTCCTTCCACGTTTAAAAAAAAAAACGTTGCGAATCGGCCAATTTTTTTTTACACGTACACGCACGCACACACACACGCACACCAAACGCAGACTCACTGTAATTTAAAAAAAAAAAATTGTAATAAAAAAAAAAACGCTTTTGCTTTCTCTATGACTTTGCGGTAAGTGCGTACAAATTATTATTATTATTATTATTTTTTTTTTTTTTTTTGGCCAGATGGTCTTATTGAGGACGTTAATGATGATGAATTTCGATTTAAAAAATTTTTTTTTTTTTAGGTCGTAACAAATGACATAAAATAATAATAATAAATTTAAAAAAAAAATTAAAGATGGCGGCCGTGGTGGCAATTAATGATGGTGGTGGTGGTGGTAGTTGTGATGCGTTTTTATTTTTTTGTCCGTAGAGAGAGAGAGAGAGGGGAGAGAGAGATAGAAGGAAAAAAATTATTTATTTTCATTTTACTCTTTCCATTTCCGGTTTTCTTTCAATTGTTTTTCACTCTCTATGGATTTAAATAAAAATTATTAATTCTAAAAAGAAAAAATTGTTTTTTTTTTTTTTTTTTAATAACAAAACTTATTATTCTCTTTTATTTATTTGTCATCCGTTCGTCGTGGAACTAATAATTTTCTTTTATTATTATTATTATTATTATTATTTTCTTTCAGGTTTTAAAACAAAATATATATTTTAAAATCGGATTACGGTTTAAGGAGAGATAGAGAGAAAGAGAAAGAGAGAGAAAAGTGAAAATGAAGAAAAATTGTAAAAGACGGGGAAATAGAAAAGAAGAAAAAAAATTTTTTAAAGAGTAGTTCGAGGGAGGGAGGTGGGGAAATGATAAATCCAAGTTGAAATTTTCCAGTAAAATTCCAGTAACGTAAAAAAAAAAAAAAAATGATGATAATAATAATAATAATTTCAGTAAAATAATTTAATTTTTTTTTTTTTTAAAAACTCGAAAGATTTTCGACAAAATTTTCAAGTCAATCAAGTTCCACGACTAAATCACATCGAAAAAAAAAAAAATTTCTTTTTATGTGTGCAATCGTCGTGGCGCGTGCTAACGATTAACGTGAAACAAGAAAAATTGAAAAAAAAAAAAAATTTGAATTAATCGTAACACTTACAAATTATTATTATTATTATTATTATTATTATTATTATTATTATTATTATTATTAATATTTTTACGTGCACTCGTAAATTAATCATGACATTTTAGAAAATTAACTTTTTTTCTATTTTTTTTTTCAATTAACAAATTAATTACACGTTTTTTTATTACTACACCTCCTTCTTACACGTCATTACAAAAAAAAAATTAAAAAATCCGTTTGTTAAAAAAAACGGGAAAATTAATAATAATAATAAAATTTTTTTTTCATCGTGTGATTTAAAAAAAAAAAAACGTGGAATTAAAAAACTCTAGTGCCACTTTTTTAAATCGATTAAAAAAAAAAAAAAAAAAATTAAACGAAATGAAAAAAATTTTTTTTAAAATTATTATTGAAAACTTTATTATTATAATTATTCGAGGTTATTTAACGCCGTTTTTTCCCTCCTCGGGCAGGGGGAAGGGTGGGTGGGAAGTAAGGCAGGAGTTAGGTACGGGAAGTGGGGAGCGGAAAGGAGGGTAAAAAAGAAAATGTTAATTAGTTAAGAAAAAAAAAACCATTTGAATATATTTTATTAATTAATGTATACACGAAGTTGTTTTTTTTTTGTACGAAAGAAAATATTAAAATAATAATTTAAGAATAAGAGAAAAAGGGGAGTAAAAAAAGAAGCAGAAGAAAAATATTAATAATAATAATAATAATAATAATTTTCTATGAGGAAAATACGAAAAAAAAAAAGCAGAAGAACAAAAAAAAAAAGCAGAAGAACGAAAAAAAAAGAGGAAAAAAAATGAAGAAACGAAGGATTTTAAACCTTTTAATTCATTTTTCCTTCTCTCTTCCCACCCTTCTTCCTTCCCCCCGTTTTTTCTCTTTTTCTCCTCCCACCATTAAATTTTCCAACCCTTTCTTCAAGTTTTTTTCAACCCTTAAGAATAATTTATTTAAAAAAAAAATAATAATAATAATAATCTCAAAAGAATTTTTTATTTTGAATTTTTTAAAAAAAGATTTTCGACGTTTGTTTTGGTTGTCTTGTTTGTTTGTTTTTGTGGTTGTTGTTGTTGTTTTCGTCATCGTCTACGTTGAGGAAAATTAAGTAAAAATTATGAAAAAATTTTTTTTTACTATTTACACGTTTTAAACTCTTTCAATAAGAAAGGAGAGAGTTTTCCACGAACGTGTTTGTTTTTTTTTGTAAGGATCGATATATCGAATCATTTCGTTTTTTAAATCGAATCCGTACTACGATGATGAGTAAAAACAAGGGGGGATGGAGGAGGTGAGAGTGAGGAGGAGGGGGAAAAACATAAACACGACCTTATTTAGTTATATAAAGAATCGCATGCAATATGTTTCTCTCTATTAAAAAAAAAAAAAATTCTCTCATCGTGGTTGAATCTTCCATACAAAAAAAAATTTCCTTTCATCATCATTTTTTTTTCTCCAGTTTTTTTAAATTAATCAAAGACTTCATCCATCCATCCATCCATCCATCCAGTCCGGTACAAATTTAATTAATTTTTGGAATCCAAAGCAACGTGAAAGTTAAAAAAAAATAATAATGATTTTCGTGACGTATTTTTAGTATCACAAAAACGTTTAAAAAAATTCACATATTTTTTTATTTTATTTTTTTTCCAAAAAAAAAGAAAATAAAAGTAAATAGTAACAATCGTGATAACGTCGGTACAACAACAAACAAACAAACAAACGACAAACGTTTTTTTTATTTATTTTTAAACAAAAGAAAGATTTTTTTTTTCTGACCCATTTCTCTCTCTATTTCCAGCAAGGTCAATGTTCAATAAATTATTTTTATATAATTTCATCACGCATAAGTTAAACATAAGCGCTTATGTGTTACATGCACACGAAAGAAAAAAATCTTTTTTTTTTAAATTTTTATTGTAAGATGAACGAATGTTTCGATCGTTTAATTTATTCATTATAATTCGTCTTATGTTTTGTTTTTTACATTTTTTTTTCTCCGATTAATTTCTAGGTCAGTATATTATTTTCAAACGTGGACAAAACGTACGTATTATAACGAATAGACTAGAAAATTATTATTATTATTATTATTATTATTATCATTATTATCATTACTCGAGTTGGTTTTTTTTTCGATTTCGTATGTGTGTGTGTGAAAAAAAAAAATATATATATTTTAAGAGTCTCATATTTTTTTGTTTCTCACTCTCTTTTATATATATTAAATTTAAGTTTTCATTTTTTTTTTTTGTCTAAAAATTTTCTTTCTCTCTTACCCATCTAAAAGTGTTTTTGATAGAAATATTCTATAATGTAATAACGTTTTTTTTTTATTTTTTTCTTATCAATTTCTTTTTTTTTTTTTTGAAAAGAAAAAAAAATCGAATTTTTAGACTTTTAACATTTGATCCTTAGTTTTCAATATTTTTTTTTTCCTCTACATTTCCCTCTTTTTCTTAAAAAGAGATTAAAAGACTGAATTGCCGTTTAAAAAAAAAAATTTCTTCTGCTTTTCTTTTTTACTCTTTTTATCATTCTTTTTATTTTCGTAAAATAAAATAAAAAAAATAAAAATAAAAATTTTTTTTTATTTTTATTTTCACTTTTACTTTGTTTACTTTTATAATTATTATATTCACAACGTTTCGACTTTATTTTAATTTTAATTTTTTCTTAATTTATTCATACCGAAATTAATTTTAATTTTTTTTCGTCTTAAATATAAAAATTATTAATTAATTAATTGATAATAATAATAATAATTACGGTGAAAATTATTTAAATAATAATAATTATTATTACGACGATGTTTTTTTTTTTTCATTATTAAATTTCTTTGTGATTATAGAGATTAAAAGAAAAATTTAAAGAGAAAGTTGTTTCTTAGCGAAATCTATCGTTAAAAAATTTAACTAAAAAACGATTATAATAAATGAAAAATTTCCGTTAAAAAAAATGTCGTTTTTTTTTTTTTTGGGGGGGGGGGTAATGGAGTCTCCTTTTATTTTATTTGTTTAGAAATGTAGGAAAAGAAAAGAAAAGAAAAGCGATTTTTTTTTGTTTTTATTTATTTTAGGTCCCATTTTCGGATAAAACTAAAATCGAAGACGGATTATTATTATCATCATCATCATATCTACAAATGAATAAAAAATTAAAATAATAATAATAATAAGAGAAAAAAATCAAACGTCACACTCTTAATTCATCCATTTCGTTATTTTTACTACTAGCGAAAACGTTATTTTTTTTTTTTAACGAACTTCCGGGTGTGAGTACTTGTAAGGATTGTACCGTTTCCGGTGATTTTCTAGCATTTGCAGACGACGACGATGATCGCGGTAAAGTACCTAAAGAATATTGAACGGATGATTGAAGGTTCGAACGCGGTAGAGTACCGAAATTTTGAGTATCTCGCACTTTAGGTACACCGCACGGTGTTAGTTTTTGATGTTTCGTATTGGGAGGACCCCCACCGCGTGGAAGGTTGGCATTATTCGAAAGATCAGCATAATCCGGAAGCGGTAATTGATGGTGTATGTGATGATGTATGTGACCGAAATTACCGACGGTATCCGGTTCACCGGATTTACATACTTCGGAATTTAATAAAATATCACCGCAAATGCTGTTGGGTATTCCATTCTCAATGATTGTTTTAGAATTTTGACTTTCACCAACAGCACGATGAGAGGATCCATCGATTCTATGATGATGATGATGATGCCTGTTCATACGATTTTTATCACGCTGATAATAAACTCCGGCAAATATGAGTACGTTAACTATAAGGAGACTGCATCCAATGGCTATTGTAACGCTTAAAGCCGTTGAATATGCAGCGAAACCATCTTCTTGAGATGGTGGTGGCGATGCGGATGCACTTGCGGATGCTGCCACGTTATTTGATATTATTTTTTCTAACGGTTGTAAACCCCGTACAGAAAATAAACTATTTTCCGTATTGTTTATATCGAATTGATGATTTATATTTATAGTTCCGGTAACGGTTCCTTGTTTCCCTGGAAATTGTGTCACAAGACACAAGACACAAACGAGCTGTGAGAAAATAAAAGAGAGAGAGGGGAAGAGGAAGAGAAAGAGAGAAGAAAAATAAACTTACCGGTTACTTCTATCACTGTTCCGACATCTGTTTTTTTCTGCTGTTGCATTCCTCCACGTGATTTACCACCATCGTGTGTGTGTACGAGAACACCGTGGTGGTCACCTTCTTCCGACAGCAAATGATGAGTTCGTGGCACGTCGTCACCACCTGGTCTATGAAGATCCGGTACCAATTTTAACCAAAATGACAATCTGTGCGCTCGAAAGTGATTTTTTACTTTCGGTTTCGTATCTGCTCCACACCCCCCCGGAAAAAAAAATTTTTTTTAAAAACAATTTTACAAAGAGAGTGGATCGATCGATAAACAATATGGCGTCGGATTTAAGAGACTCACCCAAATTTAAATATTTTTTATGTACTCCTTCGTAAGCTATCCATTCGATATTTTTAAAACGATTTCTTTCCTGTCGTATTCCATGACTCAAATCCGTTTCCTGTGGTTCGTTTGGATTCCTGGAAACAATTAAAAAAATTTTTCCATAATTTGACGACATATTGGAAAAAACCTGGAAATGATACGAAGGGGAGGGGAAAATTCCCTTCTTCCTTTCTTTCTTTCCTGGAATTTACGCTTACGAAAAGTAAAATTTTAATATTAATTGCAACGTGGTATTAATAATAATAATATTTTTTCCTTCCTGGAAGGTTGAAGAGAAAACGAGGGGAGGGAAGAAGGAGGGAAAGAGAGGAAAAACACGTGCGTGTGCAAATTAACGCATGAAAAAAAAAATAAAAAAATTTTTTTCGTTTAAAATAACAACAAAAACGAAATTTATTATTATTATCAGTATTATTATTATTATTATCGTTATTAACATGGCGTTTTGAAAAATTATCGTTTTTTTTTTTTTTTTTTTTGGGAAACATTTTCCAGAAAACACGTTTGCGTGACAATTTACCGCGCGAACTTTAACAAAGTATTAAACCCATTAATCGAATTGAAATTTTGTGTTTAAACTTTTTTTTTTTCCTTTCCCCCCTTCCCTCCTTTCTTTCCATTATTATTATTATCATTATTATTATTATTATAGAAAAACTGGAAACTGGAATGGTTGTAAAAAAAAATAAAAAAAAACATTTTTCGTTAATAAAATAAAATAAAATAAAAACTTGCAAGAATAATTTATAATTAATTAAAATTCTATTTAAACTTTTGAAAATTTAATTTTTAATTAAATATTTAAAAAAAAAAAAAATGAGAGAAAGAGAGAGAGCGTGTGTGTGTGCGTGCACGTGGGGATGAGAGAGAGAAAGAGATAGTGAGAGGGAGGGTGAGAGAGTGAGAGGGAGGGAGAAAGATAAATAAAATAAAATAAAAAAAAATTAATTTGCGCCATTTTTATTAATATTGTGTGTGGCGCAAACTACCGGATTAGATTATAACTAATTAAATTAATAACAATAACAACAACAACAACAACCGTAGCTTTCACATATATTTATATATATTATTTGTGATAACGTTTGTCGTTTGTTTAAATTTGTTTTTTTTTTGTTTGTTGTTGTTGCTTCTGCTTTTGCCTTTGCTTCTGCTGTTGTTGTTATTGTCTGTGCGTTTACGTGTGGTTAAAAAAAAAAAAAATTTAATTAAGGTCGATTTCCGAGAGACTACGAGACGTACATTGGTGGTGGTGATAAAGTATGGTACGAAACCACCGTTTTAAATTACGTTTTTTAATTAATAATAACAATAATGATAATAATAATAATAATGATAATAATAAACTTTAAACAAAGAGTTAATTGTTAAAAGTAGTTAAGGCGCAAGAAAAAAATATGGCAAATCGAAATAAATTTTTTGTCCTTCTTTTATACGAATCGATCAAAACCTTTCGTGGAATGTTTCTTTCGTCCCCGCCCCCGCCTTCCCTCCTCCTCCCCTCCTCCGAAAACCCGAAAGGTTGCTATTATTATTATTATTATCATCACATTTTAGAGTCCGATATGATTAACACCTCCCAAATCGTTTTAAGCGTGCGTGCGTGGGTGTGTTCCCGTTCATATCACCCATCAGCTGTTGTACCATCCCATCATTCCTTACTCATTATTATTATCATTATTATCATTATCATTATCATTATCTTTTAAAGAAAGAAAAAAAAACAAGTGAAAATATTTCTAATTACGTCAACAGCTGAGAAATGTAATTATAAAGTTTTGTAATGAAAATAATTTTCATTTTTTTTTTTTTTTGTTTTGTTTGTAACACTTTTCCAGATTTAATTATTATTATTATTATTTAAAATTTTTTTTTTGTTTTTTTTTTTTCTGGAACGAATTTATAAAATTAAATAAAATTATAAAGCTCGTTTGTTTGTTCCCTTCGTTTGTTTGTTTATATGTTTCACGTTACAATCGTATTTTATTTTATTTTTTTCCTTCGTGACCTTTGACATTTTTTTCCTTTTTGGAAGTAAATTTTTTTTTAATTAGAAATGGAAGCGAATCATGTAAAAAAAAAAAATTATAGTGGCGCGATATATACCGAACTCCTGGTGGATATTCCAGAAAGATACGACGAATCGGTAAAAGAAAAGATAAACAAACTGGAAACTGAGACAGAGAAAGAGAGAGAGAGATTTTTAATTGAATCGAATAAAAAAAAGAAAAAACATCTGCCCCCCACTTCCCTCCCCTCCCCTGCCCCTCCCGTCCCGTATGATAGTGTTTGCACAAGAAGGTAAATGGATGCAGCAAAAAAAAAAAAAGGAAAATTCCAGGGTAAGCGACTGGAAAAAAAAAGGACAGTAGCGTATAAAGAAATAAAATAATAATAATAAATATATATAATATTTCTTATGGATAATTTAAAAGTCAAATTCTTTCTTATGTTCTCCAGAGATAAAGAGAGAGAGAGGGAGAAAGAGAGAGAGAGAGAAAAAAAAGGTTTTTGTGGGAGAACGCAAATGAGATTTGAAAATTTTTTTTTTTCTGTTGGAAATGGAAAAACCGTAACAAGTTCTCATAGGAAACAACACGAGCACGCACGCACGCACACAAATAAAAGCAGAAGAAATCATGGAAAAACACGTAATATAAGATCTTTTAAAACATTAATAATAATAATAATAATAATAATGATAATAAAATGACGGGTAATGATGATGTAGAAAATTTATATGAAAAAAAAAAATAAATATGGCGACAGAAATGAGGAAAATTTCTTCACGAGTCACCTTTCGTTATTTTTAACGGGGAGTAATGATGATGATAATGATGATGACGATGATGATGATGATGATGAAAATTTTAAACGTGATTTCAAAAAAAAAAGAAAATTCGTCCTGGAGAAAAAAAAAAAAAAAAAAAATTCCTTTCCAGGTAAATTTGAAATTTTGAAAGGAGGAAAGGGAGGGAAGGGAAATTCGAGGGGAGTAGGGAAAAGGAGGAGAGGTCGGGAGGGGGAGGCGCGCGCGAGTTAGGGACTTTGAAAAGGCTTATAAATTTTATTAAGCCAACCGCAGGGTTGAATTCAACTTTTAATTTCATAATTTTTTGACTTTTTTTTTTTTTTTTTTTTTTCTTCTTCCACCCCCTCTCCCGACTCCCAAACCTCCTCCCCTTCCCCAAATTTTTTTTTTCAAAATGGCGACTTTTTACAAAGTTGAGAAAAGTCGCGGTAACGATTTTCTCTCATTTAACAATTTAATTAATTAAAAATGAATTGACGAAAAAAAAGTAAAGCAATAAAAAAAAAAGGGATAAAATTTTTTTTTTGTAATTTTAAAAATAATGATGATAATAATAATAATAATAATAATAATAATAATTTATACAAAAAAAATTTAATAATGATATTAATTATACTTTGTATAATTAATATATTAATTAATTATACAAAGTATTAATGAATAATATTTAAAAGGAATGGGAGGAAAAAAAATTAAATGAAATGAAATGGGAGAGAGAGAAAGAGATAGAAAGACAGTAAAAGGTATAAACAAAGAGAGAGAGAGAGAGTAAAAGGAATAAACAGAAAGAGAGAGAGAAAGAGACAGAGAAAAACGTAAACAGTGGGAAAGAGAAATAGATAAACAAAGAGAGTAAAACAGATACAGAGAAAGAGAGAGAGAGAAAGAAAATAAAAAAAGTTATACTTAATTATATCTGCCGTTGAAGTTTTGTTTAAATTCATTTCCAGTTTTTTAATTTTTAATTTTATTATTATTATTATTTTTTTAAAAGAAACAATTTTTTTTTTTTTCGTCAAACATAAAAAATAAAAAAAAACTTTTTACAAAGAGAGAAAGAGAGAAAGAGAGAGAGACTAAGAGAAAGAAAGAGAGAGACTGCTAAATAAATATAATATATCTATTAACAACTTTGGCTCTTTTACAAAAAAAAAAAAAATTTTTTTAAAACTTTTTATAAAATATTTATTTTTCCCATCTTATTATTTTATCCAGAGCCACCACCGTAAAATAAAAAAAAAACAGTCAAATAATAATAATAATAATAATAATAATAATAACTTACCCGCTCCTAGCAAAATTACTCCAGTAAATCATTGTTGCTTCCGACAGTAAAATTTCAGATTTCGTATAGTTTTTAACAAAGTGAGAAAATCCACCGACTAGGGGTGCTCCAAATATATATGGTAGTTCTTCACCATGTATGCATCCCTGTCTCTGTTAAACAAAACAAAACAAAAATCCCATCATGGAGGATAAAAAAAACAAAAACAAAAAAAACGTTTAATGTCGCTCAACGAACACCTTTCAATTAATTAAACTTGTAAAATGGCGGTCGCTTCAAGCAATACGATTTATATATTGTTAACATTAAACCTTTTTTTTTACAAATGAAAACGATATAAATCCTTCGGTCGTTCGGTCGGTCAGACTACTACTACTAATTTCAGTGACGTAGTCAGAATTAATTTTTTGCAATCCCAAAAAAAAAATCCTCGTCCTCTTCCCACGGGATGTAAAAAAAAAAAAAACGGATGAACATCGAGCAAACGATTATAAATTTTATTTAAAAAAAAAAAATAAATGATGACGTCAAATGTTGCGTGACGCATAAATTTATTTACATTCGTAAATTAATTATTTACGTCATAAATTATGTTAATTGCCGAATTAATTTTCGTTATGTTCTCCTCTCCACTCCCGAACTCAATCCCATCGCATCTTCCTTACTCCCCCTCCCTCCCTCTCTCCCTCCCGTTTCTTATATAATTTTCCGACGCCGAAAAGAAATAATAATAATAACTTTACGGATTGATAATAAGAAAATAGTCGTGATAATGTCGTCGTCGTCGGGAAAAAAATCATTATTATTAGTATTATTCATTTTTCAAATCCTTCGTAAACCCAATTGATAAAAATAATAATAATGATGATGATAATAATTATAAAACGTATACCGGAAATTCAAATTGATTATATTAAAAAAAAAAAATTTAAATTTGACGGATTATTGATGGATTTGTCCAGTTCGAGTATCAACTTTTTCCATTAGATTAATAATAAAGAAGAGGAGAAGGAGGAGGAGGGGTGAAGGGGATATAAAAGGTGGGGGATAAAAGAGAGGGAGAGGTAAGTGAGGAGGAGGAAAAGAAAAAAATGAAAAGAATGGAGGAAAAATGAAAATTAATAGGAAATGGAGGAGTAATGAGGGGAAATTACAAACGGGGTAGGGGTATGGGAATAAGGAAAAGAATGATGGAAATTTGGAAGGGGTAAAAGTGGGAGAAGGGGAAATGCGAGAAAAAAAGAAGAGCGAGAGGAGGAAAAATGAGGCAAAAAATGAAAGGGGAAAAATCGAGAAGTGTGGATGGTGTTATGAGGGGAACGCAAAACCGTGTGAAATAAAGGGGAAATTTAACGAATGGGAAAAGGTTTGAAGTGAACGAAGGGGAAAAAGGGAGGAGACTAAATTTATAATAATAATAATAATATTAATAATTATTCAAATAAAAATTTTATAATGATTCCATTGAAAATCCTTCTCCCCTTTTTAATTAAATAATAGTAACGAAGAAAGTGAGGAGAAAATAGAGGGGGAGGAGGAAAGAGGGGAGGGAGGGGATGATGGTAGAGTAATAGGTAAGGAAAAATAAAAATTATTAATTAATAATAATTATTTTATTTATGACGACGACGACGGCGACCATGATTAAATTTTCAATTTGATAACTTATCACGGTTTCTCTCTCTCTCTCTCTCTCTCTTTCCTTTTAATTATTATTTACGTAAAAAAAAAAAAAAAATTATTTATAAAACTAAACGATTTCGTTGTCGATTTTCCTATCCGCCGCCATTTTTTTTTTTTTTTAATATATAATTTTAAAAAAAATTAGGAAATAAAAAATTTTATTTAATTTGTTTTCATTAATTAAAATAAATCAAATAATTAACGTAAAATCTTCTCCCCCCCAAAAAAAACATTATTTATTACGGGTAATTAATTATAATAATAATAATAATAAAATTATTCCCTTGAAATTACAATCGGCGGATCGTTATTCCTTTTTTACGTTTGTCGTCGTCGTTAAAGTTTTTATTAATGAAAAAAAAAAAAGGACACAAAATGATTCGCAAAGAAAAAAAGGTTATGAATGTAAATAAATGAAAATTTTTCTTTAAAAAAAATGGTGGGGGAGAAGGAAAAAGGGCTTTAACGAAATCACATATTTTCCTTCCTCCCTCTTCCCCTCTCTCCCTCCCCGAAATTAATTCACGTGTTTTATGTGAATGAACGTATGGTTTTCATCGTTGTTTTTCCACTAACCTTTACTTTCTCTATCTTTCTCTCTCTTTTAATTTTCACTATTTTCTATTTGACGTCATAACCGGTTTTTTTTTTTAGGTTCCACCCCTTGGAAAATTTCCCGTTGAGGAAAAAAAAAAAAAGAAATTTTCCCACCGAAAAGTTAAAAACCATAAATATAAACTAAACTCGGGTCCAATTATTTTTCACATGATAAATTTTTCATTGTTCCGTTGAATAAAATTTTTGTCTGGTTTTTTTTCTCTCTCTCTCTTTTGTTTGTGTCATTGTCGTCGTCGACGTCGACGACGACGACGACGCCATCATCCTTTTTTTTATAACCTTTTCAAAGGAAAATAGGTCGCCGACCGAATTCTCATTAATATACACGTAAATGATGATACTCCACGCGTTTTTACATCCGAAATCTTTTTTTTTCTTTATTATTTCCAGACATAATATTATCCAAAACAGACAGACTGGAGAATATACAATTCTTTACACAAAAAAAAAAACGGAAGTGTAAATAATAATAATAATAACATTGTAAAACGATATTTCCGACGTTGCTCCCTGGGATTTTACTTTTGTTTTTTGTTTTATATATAATATCGATTAATAAATAAATAAATAAATAATTTAATTAAGTGATGAAAAAGTTCAGAAAAGCGTGAAATAAGTGTGGGAGGGAGAAGGGGGAGATGGGGAGGAGGAGAGAGAAAATTAAAAAGGAAATAAAGTATTAAAAAGGTGAGGTTAAAAAACCACAAAAAAGTGAAAAATAAATATTCAAAAATAAAATTTTCTAAAACAATTACACAGGTTGTTCATGTGTGCGTGCATGCGTGTGCGTGTGTGCGTAAAAATAATAATACTAAAGAAAATGGATATAAAAATGTGTGTGAAATGAAATAAATAAATAAATAAATGTGAAAAAGGAAAATTATAAAAGGGGGGAAAAAAACAAAAAAAAAAAAAAAAAGAAAAACGATTTATTTTACGTTTTCAATTGAAAGAGAGAGATAGAGAGAGAGAGAGGAAAATAAACGAGCAAAAGATTTATAAATGACATTTAAGAAAAAGAAAAAAGAAAAAGGAAAAAAAAATTTAATCATTAAAGTAGTAAAGAGACGTGGCAACAGAAGGCGGTTAAAGTTAGCGTAAAAATCTTTTCGTTAAAAAATAAAAATAAAAATTATTCGACGTTTTCTTTTTTTTTTTTTTTCTGTCGAATCCTCTCATCGATTTCTACGTTTAATAAAAAAAAAAAAAAAAAAGTGGAAAAAGAGAAAAATAAAAACGTGGCAGGTAACAAACGTTGCCACATGGGTCTCCGTAAAAAAAAAAAAAAAAAAAAAATTTTTTTAAATTCATTCGACTCCACATTTTTTCTCTTTCCAGCTTCCCCCTCCTCTTCCTCCCCCCGAAAAAGTTTTAATTTTCCTCTTTTGCTTCCTTACCCTCCCCCCAAAAAAATTTTAATTTTAAATAAATCCTCCTCTTCTCCCCCCCGAAAAAAAAAAAAACAACAAAAAAAACCATTACTGAAAAATATTCAACGCGTATTTCCCATCCTCCCCTTTTTCGTCTTCTCACTGTCTTCCATTATTTTTTTTTTTTTCCAAAGCCTCCGCGATTTCATTTCATTTTTTTTTTTCATTTTCGATTTTCATATCCATACGTCTTTTAAAAATTGACGTTAGCGAAATCTATTGGACATCTGTTGAATGAAAAAAAAAAAACGAAAGAAAGAAACGAGTAATCTAGTAAAGTGAAGTTAATTTTTTTTTTTTTAATGTAATTAAATTTTGTTTTTTTTTTTATTTGAAGGGGTTTGAAGGGGAGAAAAGGATGCTGGATAGGAAGGGAGTAAAAAAAGCTGTAAGATCTTTTGAGAGAGAGAGAGAGATAGAAACAGAAATATCGATTTAACTATGTTTTATGCGGTTTAAAAAGTTTACTTAAAAAAAATCGAATAATCGTTATTTTTTTTTAAACTTTTATTTAAATTTTAATGATCGTTTCCGGTTCCCCTCACGTGTCAATAGAAAAATCTTATTATTATTATTATTTTTTTTCCCCTGCTAAAGAATCGCGTTTATATTTTATTTAGAATTATTTACAAAATGGCGACAAAAAAATGGTAGTGATGGCGGTACGTTTTTCGCTTCTGACACGTCAATTAAATTTTTTATTTTATTTTAAATGAATAAATTATCATTAAATATTAATAATTATCTAGAAAATATTTAAAAACGTGTAAGAAGAAGACGACAAAAAATCGAAATTTCAGAATAACAAAAGAAAAAAAAAAACGACGAGTAATTTTTCTTTTTACACGATTTAAAAAATCACCCTCGAAAAAAAAATAGAAAACCGGAAAAAGAGAAAATAAAATAAAATGCCGAACGAAAAAATGAGAAAGAAAAAACCAGAAATTGCACAACAGGAAAATTTTAAAAGAAAATAAAAAAAAAAAGAGAGAAAAACTTTTCGGTTTAAAGCAAAAAAAAAAAAAAGAAAAATTCTCTTGAGAAACAAAAACATTAAAATTTACGAAGTTAATAAAAAAAAAAAAAAAATAAGAAGAAAAAGAAAAAAGAAAGAAATAGAAAGAAAAAGAAGACAAAACGAGAGAATATTGAACACATTCAAAAATCAAAAAAAAAAGAAAATGGAAACGGAAACGGAATACAACAGCAACAACAACAACAACAACGACGACGACGACAAAAAAAAAAGAGAGAGAAAAAAGAAAAAGACATCGAAAATATAACAAAGTAAAAAAACATAAAAGGGAAAGCAGTAGACAATTTCGACATGTTTATTTAATGAAATTCAGTGTTGCCAAATCAAATTTACGAAGAAAAAAAAAAAAGAAAAAAACGTTTCGTGAAAATTGCGAGGGTAGGAAAAAAAAAGAAAAAAAATGGCGGGAAAATAATTTTCTTTTGGGTTGTTATTTCTTTCATTCATTCATTCATTCCCTCATTCATTCATTCATTCATTCATTTTTTAAAAAAATTGTTAAAACAATTCTAGGAAACAAATTCATCAATCGATTCCTGTCTGTCACGCTTATCCATTTTGTCAGTTTTTCTAAAAATTTCTTTCGAATTTATAACCCGTGACGTTGTCATCATCATCATCATCATCATCGTTCGGAACGTTTTGTTTCCCTCCAAATTTTAAATTATTTAAAACTATCGCGCGCCTACGTAAAAAAAAATTAAATTTTTAAAAAAATAAATTATGCAAATTGTCGTGTCATTTGTCACTACTACTAAAAAAAAAAATTTAATTTATTAATCGTTCGATTTCCGGTTTATTTCCCCCCAACCCCCCTTTCTAGAAAATTCTGTTTTTTCAAAATGGAGAAAAAAAAAATTAATTTTTACCTGTGGAAAATCTCCAAATTTCGTTTGATAGTCGAAAACGTAAAAGAAATTATTACGTTTCATCGCAGAATGTATGTCGGCCATGTGTACGACTGGTGCCACGTACATGGCATCGCTCAGTGCCTCCAACGTTTCATCTCTTATGTTAATCGGATGCTGTACGGGCCTTTCCCAATCCGTATATTCGTTAACGATCGTCGCTAATATTTCGCTCAAGTGATACCTGTAATTTTCTCTCACGAATGTTTTTAGTATTTTTCCTCTCCTGTCGCCCTCTATACCGTACTGTACGTCTTCTGCATTAAATGCAAAATAACTTTCTGCTCTCACGACTCCTAAAAGTAAATCGTAACGTTCCAAACGTGAAATGACGTTTTTCTGTAGGAGTACGTTATTAGGTACGCTAACGCTACCCATCACGTTATCACCATCCATTTGATTTGATTTTGTAGGATTTGAAAAAATTTCGTTGTAACCGGAAATTTCACCGTACCTGAAAACAAAAAAAAAATCCTGTCGTTGTTGTCGCTGACGCAATAATAATAATTTTTAATACGAACCTAGAATTTAAATTTGATTCTTCCGGTGATTCTACACCGTCTATAACAACACCATCGACGCTGGGACCAAAAACAGGAGCGAATTCAGGTGACTCGAAAGGCGTTGATAAAAGTACTTGAAGTGGTCGATCCCTGAGGCATTTTAACAAATGGGAATGGGGTAGATCCGGTGAACAATTTGCATGTTTTGCTACTTCCCGTGCATAACGAACCGGATTTTGTACTAATGCCCACGGGGCTAAAGCACTACCAGACATTAATATGGCTCGATGAAATAGCATACCTGAAATCGTCAAAAAAAAAAAGGCGTTTAAGTAAATTAAAAATAAACCTCCTCCATCACAATCACCACCGCCTACTCTAGCACTTTCTCCTTCCACGATTTTGTGTATCCGTCGGATAAAAAATTTATCCGTAAAAAAAAGAAAAGAAAAAACATCAACCTCGTTCGTTCGTTCGTTCATTCGTTTCGTAAGAAGATTAAACTCGAAGTAGAATTCACGTCAAAAAAAAATAACAAGAAGAGACAACACAAGTCGTGTCAGAAGAATTGAAGGAAAGGATTAAAAGTGGAAAATATCATTACCATCATCATCATCAAAATTCAGGTGGATGAAATTTTTTCCCCCTCCCCTTCCTTCTTTTCCCTTCTTTTTTTTAAATGCGAAATGACGTTTTTAAGAAACCGGAAGCGGAAATAGATAAAGACAAAAAATTGTGTAATAAGAATAAAAAGAAAAAAAAATCAAATTTAATATAAACAAAATGAAAACGTTGAAAATAATTTTTTTTTTTTTTTTTTTTTTACGCATTTTCCGTCTAAGTGAAACTTTTTCCATTTCTTTTCCTCCATTTTTTCCTTTTTTATTAAGCAAAACCAAAATTAGAGTAAAAAAAAAAAAAATTTAATTTAAAAAAAAAAAAACGGAATTAATAATTCTTCTGCTTGAGTTGAAATCTTGATTTATTATTTTAAGTTGAAAAGACTTTAAGGAAAAAAAAAAAAAAAAGATAACTAGTAGCAATACGAGAATCTTTTTTTTTTCTCAAAAAAGGAAAGAAAAGAAAAAAAAATCAAAAAGTGGAAACAGAAAAAGAAAGAGAGAGAGAGATTAAGGGGGGTAGAGAGAAAAAATTGATGATGAAAAAGGGGAGTAATAAAAATGAGGGAAAAAAAAATATATATATAAACGAAAAGGAGAAAAGCGACGAAAAATGAGAGAAAAAGAGAGAGATAGAGAGAGGGGGTGAGGGGGGGGGGGAAACGAAAAGAAAGAAAGAAAGAAAAAAAACCGGTTGGATATTAGCCAGTCTCTAATTTAATGCCACGACAAGCTGGAGTTTTATCAGTAAATTGATTTATTAATGTGTTGAGAAAAAAAAATAAAAAAATTATTTCGGAAAATACATAATTTTTTTATCATCATTATTATTATTATTATTATCATTATTATTATCATCGTAATACAGGAGGAAAATTTTTTTCCAGGTACTCTAAGAGGATAAAATTAAAAAAAAAAAAAAAAATAAACCGTTACAAGTCTCGTAGATAATTTTTTTCCTTTTTCTTGACAAATTTTCTTGAAACTCTAAAAGTTTTTTTTTTTTTTTGTTACGTTGGCAAAACTGTATTTTTATTAAACGATCCTATTCATTTCCTCCTTAATAATCTCACTACCGTTAAAGAAAAAAAATCGACCGGAAAACATTTTTTCAAAAAAAAAAAAAAAAATATCGAAAAACCGTAAATTAAATGATCAATTGTTGTTTTTCCGATTACGATTGTGCCCCCCTCCGAACGCCGACGATATGAAAATCAATTTTTTATTTATTTATTCGACGGTTTTTGATTTTTATCAACGGATTAATTTATTATAATCGTTTTTCAACACCTCAAAACATAACCGGAAGTAATCCGAAAAAAAAAATTTTTTTCCCTTACACGACAAGTTGCATAAACATAAAATTTAAAGGCGTTTTTTTTTAAAAAATTTGACGAGTTTCATAATTAAAAATTTTTAAGGCGTAAAAAAAACACAAAATCGATCGGAATTGAGATTTGTTTTTGTTTTTTTTTCTCCAGGATTTGCTGGAGCGTAACAACAAAAAAAACAAATCGGCGTGGGAAACGTTAAAGGGTTAAAAAAAAAAAGGGAAAATCGTTTCCAACGAAACCAACTGATCTGTTGTGTATAATTTAAGTTTATGCGAATTTCAAAAAAAAATGAAATGAAAAGTTTTTTTTTATTTTTTATTTTTTTTTATGTTATATTTATTTAAATATTTTTATTATTCAAGGGTGAAAAGTCATTTTTAGGTATTGTAAATAAAAAGGACAGACAAACAAAAAAAAAGCCATAAAGTTATTGTTCCCCAAAGCTCTTTCCTTTCTTTTCTAAACTTTTTTTTTACCGGTTAATGTTTTAAAATAAAAAAATTTTTTTTTTTTAAAAACTTCCCTTTCTTCCTTATTCCTCCTCCCTCTCCCTCCCCGCCTCGTATCATTTTTTCACCCGTAAATAGAAAAACCAGGAAGAATATTAAACCCCATACGAGTTTCCCACACGCGAAAAAAAAAACCGCAAAAACCTACAAGCGAAAATAATTGAACAAAAAATTTATTGATGTGCCATAGTTACAAAAAAAAAGTGCGAAAAAAAAGAGGAAGTTAAAAGAGAGAGAGAGAAAATATTATATTATATTATTATCATTCGGTTAAAAAAAAAAGTACCGGAAAAAGGAAAAACCATGCATGGTTTTCCGGTTGTTTTCTATATATAAGTTGTTTTAGGTATTGCATGGGAAAACCTAAACGGAAATCTAAACGTATAAATTTTTTTTTTTGTGAAATAAAAAACGAGAGAGAGAAAAAAAAAATTTTTTCAGGAGCGTACCTAGGAATGAGAGGAAAAGAGAGAGAGAATGAGTTAATGTCAATGAAAAAAAAAACATTTTAATCATTTTTCTAAAGCAATGTTCTCATCATGGCTTTTATATAGAAACAAAACAAAAGCAATTTTGTTTTTTTTATCCCCTCCCCACCTCCTCCTCTCCCCTCTCTCTTTTCATCCCGTTAGGCACACCCTCTCTCTCTCTCTCTCTCTCTCTTTCTCTCCATTTTTTTTTTGAATTCACGTTTCCGCGTCATTATTATACGTTATCCTTAACATTATTTCAATTTTAAACAATTTAAAAATTTTCATGTAAAGGTTTATTTCAATCTCTCTCTCTCTCTCTCCCCCTCCCCTCCTCTCTCTCTTTTTTTTACCTTTTCGCATTTACCAATATCATACACGTTTTTTTTTTTTTTTTTACTCAAATATTTTTTCATTAACATTTCATTTATATATTATCATCGTTTTTCATTTTGTCATTTTCAAAAAAAAAAAAAAAAATTTCCCGCCATTTTTTTTTTTTTTCCCACTTTTCAAACGTCATCATCTCATCTTCATCGTTAACATTATTTTCCATTAAATTTACATAATTTTATATTAAAAAAAAAAAAATTCAAAAAATAACCGCGCGTTTTTTTTTATTTCCTCTATGGAATTTTTTTTTTAAAAAAAAAAACTTATTAATAAAATTCACACGTATGAAGATTAAAATAAAAAAAAAAGCGCGTTCAGAAATTTTCACAGAATAAATAAATAAAAAATCACCGCCGCCTCGCTATGCAAATTTATATTTACGCGCGCATTTTGATTCAAATCTATAAATAAATCGCCGATAGATTTCTCTGCTAGTCAATTAATTATTTATATGTTACGTCATCACGAATAATATTTATTATTTATTTATTTTTTTGAAAACGTTTCGATGATAATTTTTTAATAAATAAATTTTACTTAATAATAATAATAATGACGTTTTTATTTCCGTTCGTCGTCATTAAACGGTGAGGAGAGAGAGGGAATCGAAACCGGAAAAAATTATTTTACGAGTAGAATTTATATAGAATACCTTCCTGATCTGATCATCATCATCATCATCATCATCCTGATTTATGAAATTCGTTTCGACATTAAAAAAATTTTTTCATATGTATTTTTATAATAAATTAATAATAATAGTAATAATAATGATAATAACAATGATTAAATCGGATTTAAATTTAACTTGAAATGAAATTAAAACGGAAATTTGTAGTGGGGAAAGAGGGAAAAAGGAAGGAGGGAGGGAAATTTATAGAAAATGGTAGAAAAGTCAAAAAGAAATAAAAAAAAAAAATTTAAATATATAAGATTACGTAAGAAAAAAAGAAGAAGAAAAAAGAGAGAGAGAGAGAATAATGAAAGAATATTTGCATAAAAGAAAAATAACCTTTTTTTTCATAGAGTAGTAAAAACAATGTTCTAGTCCTTGATTTATTATTATTATTATTATAAAAAAAAGAGGGGAAGGGAAATTTTTTCTTTTTCCGTTATCTAAATCGTACGGGATTATTTAAATAGATTAATGAAAAATTTAAAGGGATTCGAAAAAAAAACCGGAAGTAAGGAAAGAAGGAAGAAAAGTAGTCGGAAAAGTTTTGATGATGGCGACGATGTCTAAGACGACAGGAAAAAGATTAAAAGAAAATATAAAATGATTGATAAGAGAGGATGATGAACCTGATTGTATCCAGTACAGACTGGAAAACAAAAAAAAACGATAAAAACGAAAAAGTTTTTGATGATAAAAAAAAAGGTGAAAATTTATTTAAAAAAAAATAAAGTAAAAATTGAAGAGAGAGAAAGAGAGAGTGGGGGAAAAAAAAAGATGGTGGACACACAACTCTTATAAAAACACTTTTGAATTGTAAATTTAAAAAAAAAAAAAGTATATATATAATAATAATAAAATAAAAGAAAAGTTTGATTGAAAAACTTTGAAAAAAAATTACGGAACGAACGAAGGGGAGGGGCAGGGGGAAGGAAGGGGAGAAGAAACGACCCGGAGAAAATGAAAAAAGGGGAATAAAGAATGAAAATGAGGGAATGAAAAAAAAAAAGAAAATCCAGGTTAAATAGTTGTTAGAAATAAAAACTTTATTCTAACTCAATTACTTTGTATAACGGTTGTATCGTGAGGAAGGGAAAAAATTTCCCTCATCTTTTAGCGCCATCTATGTACTTTTTTCCCTCCCTCCCTCTCTTTTCGATTTCCCTGCTTTTAAAAAAATTGTAATTTTTTTTTTTTAAGAAAGGAAAAATAATCGAGTGATGACGTCGTTAAACGTCTTTCAATCGCGAAATCATCAAAATCAAACGTTTACGACGCAGAAAAAGAAGATAAAAAGAGAGAGAGAGAAAGAAGGGGAGAGAGAGAAGGAGAATTTATGTAGAAAAAAAAAAGAAAATTTTTTTTTTTTTTTTGACTCCAGTAAA